TCCCTACTGGCTGCCACCACTGAAGCCCCAGGTGAATATTTCTTCTGTGATGAGATATGGCTAAAGAAATACCATGGCATAGGTTCTCTTGATGCCATGGACAAGCATCTCAGCAGCCAGAATCGTTACTTCAGTTAAGCTGACAAAATCAAAGTGGCCCAAGGGGTGTCAGGAGCTGTTCAGGACAAGGGGTCTATCCACAAGTTTGTCCTCTACCTGATTGCTGGCATCCAGCACTCCTGCCAGGACGTTAGAGCCAAGAGCTTGACCCAAGTCCGAGACATGATGTACTCTGGGGAACTGAAGTTTGAGAGAAGAACATCCTCAGCCCAGGTGGAAGGTGGTGTCCACAGCCTTCACTCATATGAGAAGTGGTTTTTCTGAAAAGGAATCTGTCACACATCCTTAGTTTTTCAATAAAAGTTTGGAAAATTAAAAAAAAAAAAAAACCTGGACCCTGCTTTTACCTAAGCAGGCGCTTAATCCCCTGAGCTATCTTGCTGGCCTTTCTGTATCCCTTTTTTTTTTTTTTTTTCTATGTACTTTTTAAAAAGCGTGCCTTTTATTTACTAAACTATGATATTAACCACATGTCTATTAGATCAAACTTGCTAATTGTTTTATTTATACAGATATTTTTAGAAGTACAAAACCTGGATATATTTACCTATTAAGCCTCGTTTGGTTAATAAATGATTCATAGTGGACTCCCATGGATATAGGACAAAGACAAGCCAGAAGAATACATGGGACTAGAGAGCAGCAGCTGGCACTCCACAGAGCAGTGGCACCAAGGCTTGACAGCTGTGCAGCACATCTCATAAACTTCTCTGTATACATAACTGTGAAATGCTATTATTTTACAATAAAATCTATTTTTCATGGCAGTTTGTTTCCATTTCTGCACAGCTGTCTGGGAATTGGTTTTGCTGAGCACAACACTGGAGAACTCTCTCCCTATAAAACAGGAGGAAAGAAGTTGCCAAGCAGGAGCCGAGGAAGAGGAAATTCCATGCCAAGACCTGAGAGGACAGAGTGAGGAGCTGGACAGGACTGGTCCTGTGGCCCGGGCTCTATGAATGGCAGTGTGCCCATCCCCTGGGGACTCAAGGCAGCAAATCAGAGTACTACACCCATGGGAGGTCGGGGCATCTGAGCCCACTGTGTTAAGTGGAGGAGGTCAGCCACACAAGCTGAAGCGTCACATGGTTTCTCTTACTTAGAGAAACCTAAATCATAAATAAAGACCAAAATAAAAGATAGATAATAGGAAGAAGGGAGGTTTTTCTCAAAGGGGAAGAGGAGCAAGAGATGGAGAGGGAAGGGAGGAGAGGAGAGGGAAAGATGGAGAGCAAAGGTAAAATGTGTTACATACGAGCACCAACTCCCCACAAAGAATGTGTAAATACTATGTCCTGAAGATTTGTACTGACAAAAGATGTTTAAAAATGAACAAAAAGAAGAGGACATTCTGCTTAGGCCTTAAAAAGGCTGCTTAGAAAGAAGGTATAATTATAATCATAAGCACGAATAATAATGTTCAAATAACATCGTACCAACAGGATATACATGCAGTAGGGAGGGTGCACAGCAAATAATCAGAGTTTGTTGAGAAATAGGTGGAGGGATTACATGAATGAATGGAGCCGGAAGCCTGATCGAGGTGTGCCTCATGCCAATCATGTACATTAGATTCTACTATGTACTTGAGAATGGAGGAGGAGACAAGGGGAAGTGGAGGCCCAGCTATGGTTACAGAACGTGGTCCTGGGGCCAGCAGCACTCGCATCGTGCGGGAATTGTTGGAAATACACATTCCCCGGCTCCACCCCACACCTTCTGAGTCAGAAACGCTGGAGTGGCACCCAGCGAGCTGCACTTTACCAAGCCCTCTGGGAGATGCTGAGAGCCACTGGGCTGACCAGAGGCATAGGAAAAGCTGGCAGGAGCAGGTGGTGGGTAAGAAAACTGGCTTCCTTGGCTGGAAAAAGTCACCAAGTACCGAGACAGGATCTTGTGCAGACTCCCTAGCTCACCTTGCCCCACTCTGGTCTTCCGCAGAAATCAGGCGAAGACTGCTTTCTTTCTTACTGTGACTCTGGGGATCAGCAAAGGGTCCTCAGGCCAGCCACCCCCTATTCTGTACATCAAATCAGCTGTGAAGCAAAGCATGTAGGCAACCTCGCTAGGGACAAGGAAGCCCAGGGAAATAATGTTCTCTCTTCTTGAAATCTGCAGCAAGGAAAAGTTTCTTGGGACTAGGCAGTGAGGGTTGGATGTGTCATTTGGCCATCATCTTGGAGAAGGTGCCCCTGTCTGAATGCCTTCTCCTGTGCCAGCCCTCAGCCTCCCAAGCAGATGGCCCCTTGGGGCAGAAAGTCCTACCATCTTCCAATCAACCAGTTTGGGGGAATAAAATTTTCTCTCTTCCACCACCTTGCCTCCTGACTAACCTGGGCAAGCAGACAGAGTCCGTTCTCAGTAACAATGTCAAGGGTTGGTGGGAGAACAACCTTGCAATCAGAGGCTGGGAAGCCTTACCATTACTGGTGAAATACATTAAGTTTGTCTCACAAACTACCCAGCTTGTGTCTTCATATAACTAACATGAAAGAAAAACTTACACAATCTCTTCAGTACCATCAATTAGCTCCATGTTGTCCCCATTCTGTGTTTTTATTCATATCCATAGATCATGCTTAGTAATAAGTCTTATGATTTTGTAGTAGACTGCATTTTGATGCATTAATAAATGAATTTACATTTCTGTTTTGGTTTTAACTGTTGTATTGTACTCTTTAGCTCTCCCTAGACTATCTCTGGAAATGTTTTTTTGTTTGTTTGGTTTTTTGGGGTTTTTTTTTTTTTTTTTTTCAGAACTGGGGATTGAACTCAGGCCCCAGTGCTTGCCAGGAAAGTGCTTATTCCACTGAGCCATCTCCCCAGCCCCTGGAAATGACTGTTGTAGCAGAATCAACTAATAAAATTATGAAAGTGTGGACTATGAATTTTAAAAGTTCAGGCCTAGGCTAAAGAAAATGGGATTTGGGAGTAAGAAGCAGTTAGGGCAAATTTTTTCTCATGCTGGAAACTTGATAAAGCTTGCTAGACTGGAACAGAAGTCTAGGAAACCAGAAAGAAGGAGATACATGTCATGGAGCTCCTGGCCCACCTAGACCCATAGGGCCCTGAGGGTGACACTGGGCTACTTTCCTGAAACAAACCTAGCAGGTGGCAAGTTCAGTCCATTCCACACCATGCTATAGGGACTCTACTCAGATATGCAGACCTAAAACAATCTGGAATTTTCCCTGGGCCTGACATGGCTTTATGATACAACCCGAATGTAGCCAAGAGAGGCTGACCTAAAGAACTTTTGTATTCAACAACAGAAGAGCAGAAGACAACTCTAGTCCTTCCTGGATCAAGGAACAGAGAAGATAGGAACTGATTTGGTCCTGATGGGGGCCAGAGAGAAGATAGGACCTCAGGGGAAAGTCACAAATAGGGGGCAGAGGGGACAGTGACAGAACAGAGAATCTCCTATTATCACCCAGAATCAACACCACATGGCCCACCAGACATATGACACAGAGCACAAAAGGGACTTGAAAAAGAAAGGAAAAAACCCTTGCTTGTAGAAGATTTCAAAAAGTTACACATTTGACACAATTCATGATGCAGTCTGAGTCATCGTGGTTACGGTCATGTAAGATGGTTTCATATCTTCTAACATTATTATTATTTGAAGTGATTTATCCTCATCACTTAAAGTGAGGTTGATGAAATTATAGCCTCACTTTTAATTTTTTAATGTAATAAGTATATGTTTTTAATACAGTAAATAGTTTTCTGACAACATTTACTTGTCACCTGTAATTAAGCCAGATTCTGGACTACTGTAAAGAATTCAGAAATGAAAAAAACACAAAACATGATGTCCCATTGCCTGATGGGAGAGATAGAAATGCAAACTGGTTATCGCAAAGAACTATGGGCAAGACCGTACAGGCACTTATAATTGTGCCTTCTTCTAAATTATTCCTAGGATGAAGTCCTCAGTAGTAAGAGTCCTGGGCTAGAAGGACAAATTTATTTCTCAAGGCGTCAATCTGATTTATAGTGAATAAAGTTTCTGTCTTATAGCATGTGTAATACTCTTTGCTTGGAAAATACTTTCTAAACTTTTGTTTTAATTTATTTAATTTTTTTATGTTTTAAAAATTTAAATTCTCTGTCTAAATTTGTCTCTTCCTGCCTCAGTCTCTTTCTGTCTTTGTCTCTGTGCCTTTCTTTCTATGCCTCTCTGTCTGTCTGTGTCTCTCTGTCTCTCTCTGTTTGTCTCTCTCTGTCTCTCTCTGTCTCTCTCTGTCTCTCTCACCTCTCTCTCTCTCTCTCTCTCTCTCTCTCTCTCTCACACACACACACACACACACACACACACACGGAGGAACAGGCTGCTGTGTAGTCCTGGCCGGTCTTGAACCTGCTACGTAGTCCAGGCTGACCCTGATCCTCCTGGCTCACCTCCTGAGGGCTTGAGCTACAGGTATGCACCACTGCCCAGCTTTTCTATGATTTTAAAGCTTAGAAAATTCTTCACTTAAAAATGTGACACCTACTCATCTCTATTTCCTGCTAGAAATTGAATTTTTCACTTGTCTAATTAGTTACTCCATCTGAAATTCAATTTAGAAGTTAATCGGAGCAATTTGCTTGTTAAAGTAGCTAAAGCTATTCTTCCTTTACTTAGTATTTAGTGACATGTGTTAAAATAAAACTCGCTCTGTAAAGGACACCAGCTTTGAGACATTACCTGGTGGTTCTTAGCCTGTGATGTGTCGGTTGCTCCCTTCGGTGGCACTAATGGTGCGCAGGGCTTCTTGAGAGCCGAGAACCATTCAGGACGAGGAAATCAGAATCTGGTGTTCTGGGCTAGGCTGAGGAAATAATTCGAACACAGACCGGAACATAGCGCAGATAGAGGGAGGGCCACGGTCATGACGTGAGTGCTCACCGCACAGAAGCAGAGGCCCTGCTAGTGCTCCTAGTAGGAGCAGGCGGAGGGGGAGAGAAGAAAAAGGCAAGGGCTTGCCCGCACCCTTCTGCTCTTGAAAGAGGTCTCTCAGGGCAAAAGCGGGCAAGTGAATAAACAACTGACCAGCTAGACCTGAAGAGTGTGAGAAGTTCGGGGCCTTCTTCGCAACTGGACAGAGCTTGGGAAAACTACAGTCCTGGCAGAGAAGCCTTTGCAGAGGGCGACGCTGCAGCCAGCACCATAGGGAAGAGGAAGCTGCAGCAAGGATTGAGGCTCCAACTAAAAGCAGCCTCGGAAGAGCCGCACAGCACGTTGGAGAAGCGCCATCTAGTGTCTGCTGGAGCGCGTACTTCTGGTTTCCGTTGCTACACCCAAACCCCGGAAGCTGAGTGCTTTGCAAAGAAAAGAAGTGTATTTAGCTTACAGTTTTGGAGCTGAGAGTCAACTCTGTGTCCAGCTCTGGGCCAACTCTGACAAGGCTGCCTGACTACATCACTGCATGGAAGATAAAATTGTGGCAGGCATTCATGTGAAGAAGAGAGATCACATGGCAAGACAGGAAGACAGAAAACCAGAGGGAGGGCCAGTTTTGCTCTTTTATAGCAATTCTCCCTCATAGGAACTAGCCAGAAACCCACAAAGACTACTTAATCCCTTCTGAGCACAGCACTCCTAATGACCCACTTGCCTAGCAGTATTCCTCCCTCTGGAAGGTTCTACTGTCTCAACACCACCTCACTGATGACCATGGGACCAATCCCTCGGCACATGAGCCTTTGGAGGACAAGCCCATCCAGGCGGTAGCCCCTTTCATGAAGATGTGCCAAGGCTAAGCCGCGAGGAGAGACCTCGGCTCCAAAGGAGGAAGCTCAGCATGCGGAGCTCCTGTCATCAGAAGCAGTGGCAGAGACAGAGGGCAGGTGGCCAGCACCAGTGGCGCCCACTGACAAGAGGATCCAGCCGGTTGGGCCTCTTCACCAAGAAGGATGAAGGAGGGCCACCTCAGAAGCAGTGGGGGAGCTGGAGGGATGGCTCAGCAGCCACTCTGCACCTGGACGCCAGCACTGGAGGAGGCACGAGAGACCCCTCCAGCTGATCAGAGCTTGAGCTTTGAATTGACTGCATTACCTGAGAGATCTGAACAAAATAGAAGAGACTAAATTGTCACTAACTGGCAGCTTGAGATGCCTTGCTAATGGCACTTGGTTCTTGCTGTCAGCAGAAACAATCATTCAGACTAAGAAAAATATGCAGAACAAAATTTTACATTTTTGAACTGATAAGAACAGATACTACACTTGATCTTAGCCAAAAGGCCAAGAAGCGATACAATTTAACATTTTTGAGAATGATTTTTTTTGGGGGGGGCTGACTCAGGCTGCCCATAAGGGTGGGTCTGGTAAGGCAGGTGGTGGTAGGGATCGAACTGCGGTATCTTGTGCCTGACTGCATTTGTATGAGCAGGCACTTAAACAACTAAGCTAATGGGCAGGCCCCCCAGATTTTATGTTCTTGTATCTGAGTAATATGGCAATTTTGAAACTATTACTACTACTACTACTACTACTACTACTACTACTACTACTACTACTACACACACACACACACACGAGTGCGCACGTGCATTTTCTTTAGACTTTTTGAGCCTTTAAAGTCAGAACCAAGCTTTCAATATATTTGGAAACTATGTCCACAGGCAATTTCTAAAGTTTTTTTTTCTTTTGATAGGGATAGCTAGGATTTCTTTATTCTCTCTTTCAGAGAAACTCAAAACCCCTCCATGTACTGGTAATCTTGCATGCAGTATGTGGCGACCAGCGCAGATCCTACAGAAAGCTTTGTCCTAGTAGTGAAAGCGTGGGACGATGGGAAACGCTGCTGAATTTCTCTGGGAAAATCCTTGTGCGTGCTCATGTCCCTGGCACTCCTGGAGGGGAGCAGCATGAAGCCTAGAGCCGTCCTGACTTAGAGCCTCTGTCCCAACACTCAGCAGGGTCCTGTCGAGGGCACTCTAGGGTCCCTCTTTTGGGCACAAGGTGGCAACAGCTACCCACACTAGGGGACACACCACAGCCTGTGGACCCTGAAGACCTGGTGGCAGGGAAATGGCCCACGTGTTAAGAATGGAACAGATGGAGGGAATTTGGTCCTGAGAGGAGGGTGGAGGAAGGCCCTTGCCAATCTAATGAGTTTGTTCTGCAGGAAAACCAAAATCCACTGTCCCAAGCCACTGCAATTTCAGGTTTTTTCTACTGCTTTCTACGTAGCAGTAAAAAGCATGACTTACCACCGGGTTTGGCTTTCCTTATCAGCTCCCAGCCAAAGCACAGCAAACAAAAGCTCAGCCAAGCACATCCCCAGGCTGCCAGGCTTGCCGGGGGATCTGGAGGTCTGCTGAGGCGTCGGATGCTAACAAGACCGTTCTGTTTCTGCCCCTTCCAATCTATCTGACCTTGTGCAAACTAGGTGACCTTGGGCAAAAGAGGTAGCCTCTGTGCCTCATTCCCATACCTGAGACAAGATTCTATTCTCATCTGGCTTCCATGACAGTTACTGGGAAAACACAGACAGCAGCGGAAGAGTGGCCAGGCCATAGATTCACATCGTCAGACACACACAAAGCAAGGGAGGAACACAGGTCTCTGGGGCTTCTCCCACACACGCACACCAGGAAAAGGACTGCACAGCCCACTCCCTAGAGAAGTCTCAATTCTAATTTTTCTTCAGTTCTTTCTTTGCTGCCATTGTCTTCCTTTCCTCAACACTAGAGGGTGCTTCAAGACTGTCACCCCTCCACCTCTACCCCCACCCCACCACCCCTGAGTCAGCAACTGGCCACACAGGTAGAGGTCACTTTGACCAAGAGATAGGCTTCTCACCATTAGAACAGCCAACTCACCTTAAGGAGCCAGAGCACTGTCTCCTGTTTCAAACCCATCCCAGACCACTTTCCCACAGCCGCAGTCTTCTCCTTCCTGACAGTTACCAACTTGTGTAAGTGATTGAGCATTTATTTCTACATGCTTATTTCTACTCTGCCTGTCTATGACAAGATTCCCCCCACCCAGCAGACTATGTGGGAGGGACACCCCTGTTCTGTTCACTACCCGTTCTCAGTACCCAGCATAACTCTCGGGTACACAGAGCTTCTTTTTTATTTTAAAGAGGGGAAAAAAAAAAAAAAAAAAAAAACAAATAACCAGAACAAAGACAAAAACAAAGCAACATAGAAAAACAGAATTTCAAAACAAGAATAAAAGTTTAACAATGGTTGTTATATTACATATTGCTAGCATAGAATTTGTTGCTCAGATTAGCAGATGTAGGCATGCAAGTTTGGACCAGCAATCAAACATTAACCCTTCTTTTCACTAAACGTTATTTTTTTTCTCTTGCCCCTTTTCATTTTTACTTTTTAAATTTGTTTTAAAAAGAGTATAAAATAACAGATTAGACATTAGAGACTATGCGTATTTAAAAGAACAAAATGGAAGGTATTCAACCTTGGTTGCTATATTGCACATTGCTGTCCTCAGTGAAGTTGCTCATATTACAGGTATTGGCATACAGAGTTGGTGAAACTACAAATTTTAAACATTAACTGCTAACCTTCAAAAAACCAACAGAAATCAGCAGCAGCACAATCACCTCTGCTATTCTGTGTATATACTTACATGGTTTTTTCTCCTTCCTTTTTTCCCCTTTCTTTTCTCCTTTCCCTCATCTCAATTGTTTATTCCCTTTATTCATTTTCTTTATGTTTTACTATATCTTTTTAAATGCACTTATTTGGTGCAGGGTCTCACTATACAGCTGGGACTCAAGTGATCCTCCTGTCTCAGGCTCCCCTGTGCTAGGATTCTAGGTGTGTGCCACCACACCTGATTTCAGTGGCTGACAGTGCTCCCAAGGTTCCGGGGCCAGCATGACAAGTGGTACTAGGATTGAACCTGGGTCTTTGCACTTGCCAGGCAGGCACTCAGACCACTCAGCTATCTCCCCAGCTCCATTCTACTATATCTATTATACCTTTCAGATTTGATTTATTCTTCCAAGCTCTTACATTAGGGAGACAATACAATGTTTCCAGATGTGAGTCTGATTTATTTCACTTACAAGTATAGTGTCTAGTTGCACCCATTTACCTATAAAAACCTCAACTTTATCTGTCTTTATAGCTGAGTAATACTCCATTATGTAAAAATACCACACCTTTTTTATCCATTCTTCAGGTTATGGGCATTTGAGTTGTTTCCAAGATTTAACTGTGACAAATTGTGCTGCTACCAACATGGCTGCACATATATCACTGTGGTATGACGTTTTCAGTTCTTTTGGAAAAATACCCAGAAGAGGATTACCTGGATTGAATGGGACGTCCAATCCTAGTTTTTTTTTGAGGAGTCGTCACACTGGTTTCCATAGTGGTTGTACCAGTACATTTCCATTAGCAGTGGAGAAAGGTTCCCCCCCACACACACAGCCTCTAGAATTTGTTATTAATTGATTTCTTTATGGCAGCCATTCTTTCAGGGGTGAGATATCTCACTGTTGTTTTAATTTATTAAATTCTGGAATGACCAGTGATGTGGAACATTTTTTCATGTATTTATTTGCTATTTGTATTTCTTCCTCTGAGAAGTGTGTACTCATCTCAGATGCTCATTTTTGGATTGGGTCTTTGAATTTTGGGTACCTGATTTTTATTTTAATTCCTTATATATTTTCTATAGAAGTCTTTTGTCTGGGTGATTGTTGGTTAAGATTTTTTCTCAATTTTTGAGTTGTCTTTCCACTCTGTTGGTGATTTCTTTGGATGTGCAGAAACTTCTCAATAAGATGAGATTAGTGGTTTTTCATTCTTTGAAGTATTTCCTGAGCAGTTTGATTTTTGCTCATGAGTTCTCTGCCTACCCCTATGTCTTCAAGATTGCCACCTCTTTCTCTTCAAGTAGACTTAGTATTTC